TCTATCACTAGCGTCAGTGCTTTCACCCTCTTCACATAAATTAGGCTGACACTCTGTTCTTGTCAGCATTTTTTGGCAGATTTCCCATCCATCATCTCCAAGTTTATATCCTTGAAGTCAATCACGCTAATCTCCAAGAACAAATACGACGCGTTGCATGATCATATGATCACTCGTACCCTCGCCTCCTCCTGGCACGCGAAATGTCCATCCTTGCAACGGCTGTCTCTTCCCTACGCAACATGGCTACAAAGTCGCGATCATGGCTGGGTGACGATAGAGCAGCTCCAACGCATTCTCGCAGAGAAAGAACGTACACTCATGGAGAGGGAGAGGAGGGTCATCCAGCGCGAGGCTATGCTGCGGGAAAACCAGCGACGGTTAGAAATGCAGGAGAGGGACTTGATAAGGAAGGTAGAGACGATTTCTGTTGCCAATGTGGACACAAAATATAATGGTGTGGTCCAATAGACGCAAGACGAATGTAGTATGATAATTAGTACGGTGCAGTTGCGGAAACAAGAACGAAACAGTAATGTAGCTTATTGAATATGTAAGTAACGGATGCCACCATCGAAAGCTGCAAGAAGCGATAAAAAGAAGACAGGGTACTGACAAGAGACCGAGGAGCAATGGATCATACCGGAGTAATTCACAATGGGCAGCTACTGAGACCGAGTGAGGTCGAAAAAAACATCTACATCGGAAAGCAAATTGCTCTCCTGGGAAGACGGGTAATAGTACTTATCCTGCTTCCACCCATGCCCCACACGAGCTGACGTTTGGGTATTGATATTGAGGGCTGAGATAGAAGTCGAGGAGAATGCAGGTGAAGACGGTTCGTCGGAATCACTGTCAATCTCGATGACGCCTCCCGTATATTGCGACTGGCTCTTGTTGTATGGGGTCGGGACAGCCTCGTTATAGTGTGTTTTAGGGTCAACTGCTGGAGTTGTGGAGGAGCGAACATCAGGGAAGGCCATGGGTCCCCGTCGTCGCTTTGCAGGAGGCTCCTGGGTGGGAACTGCAGTTGTTGTCCGAGGGTGGGGACGTTTCGCAGTCTTGTCCTGATTATATATTCCAGGGGTCTGCGCGAACGACTCGTTTAGGACAGCGCTCCTCCCGAAGTTTGAGGTCGAAGGTGCGATCAGTTCTTCGTCTAAGGAGTCCTCAATGTCGAGTCCAGGCTCCTCAGTCTGTTGGGGCAAACGTTGGCGCTGTTTATTTTGATGTTTGTTTGACATTACTCGGGGAGCCTTGGGGCCGGCACGTTTGTTGGATTTGCGTCCAGTTGCGCATCCCATAGTCTGAGCAAACAAGCTATCAAACAGATCATCTCGATGACGGGTCCTTGACATTGATGCAGGTGGGTCAGACCGACGGGAGTGCACCTCCTCCGAGCTCGAGTTTTTCGTTCGCTGCCGGGTGCTGGATCTGCGACGTGTCGGTTTGTTGCCTATGGATGGACCGGGGAAAGGGCCCAAATCGGCATTACGACCAGAAGAACGGGCATTGGGACGTGGTGCAGACGATGTGGGAGTACCATGAGGGGGGTCGACGAAGATATTCGTATGGTCACACAGCTGTTCGAGGCGAGGCGTACGAGGAGCCGCCGGAAACGGAAGGCCATCTTCAAGGTATAGCATATCTGGATCGTCTGAGTCTGGGAAGGTGAACAGGAAGGGACTCTTCGCAATAGGATCATGGCAAATTGAGGTGTCGCGAAATTGACCCGACGACTCGGGCGCCACGGATAGCGACGTATCTCGTGTTCCAAGGTCAAGAGAAGGACCTGGGATAGGAAAAGGCGGTGAAGGGGCAAAATCCGCCATGTGATCATCCTCATCCTCGGTATCGCCAACATCTGCGTACTCAGAGGTTTTTCGATATCGACTTTCTCGCGAACCCGGTGCCTTCTTTTGAGCTGATGCCTCTTCAAAAGCATCGGCAAGTTGGGGAAAGACTTGGCGGATCATGCAGGCCGGCAGCCATAGTCGCATCCGACTATCTGGGTCCGGAGGAGGCTTGGATGAAGTGCGTTTCTTGTGCGATGAAGGACCAAGACCGACATTGAACGGGTCGTCATCAATCGGTTCTGGCGGAGGTGACGGTGCACGCCCCCGTTTTCCTAAGATTCCTGTACGCGCCATGGCGACAAACAGGGAGGGAGTAAATTCGACGCGGTATTCCAAAATCTGGTCTGTGGAAATGTGCTCTCTGGAGCTGACGACCTTCATACGCAGCGGGTTGAGATCCTCCTTCCCGGGTGCATGATGTGGACCCCTGTTGACAAACGCGCTTCCGATACGGTCTGTGTTCTTAGAGTCACCAAGACGCGTCTTGATTGTGGAAACAGGAAACCCGACGGCGTCTTGGGGCCGGGGGTTGAGAGGCTGTCGGATAAATGTATCTCTCCGTCCGTCGCGGTGCCGCTTTTCGACTTCCATCTTGTCCACGTCCAGCGCCGCTCGACGAAGAAGTTGCATCATGGCAGCAGCCCATGTGACGTTCCGGAAGCGCTGAATTATTGTGGATTCAAAACCCCACTCGCCGAAGTGAGCCTCGCAAAAAGCAGCAAGACGGGGCAGGTTGATGTTACCGCGGTCTCGCAATGCGTGGCGAGGTTCGTCGCTGATGATGGGATGGACGTAGTTTCTCATTACGTCCATAGGTGGGAAGTCAGGAGGCACGACCAATCGCGGCTGCCTGGCATTCAGATATCCGCGCGAGTTGGTGTGAAGCTCTTGGTTCACAGCTTCTCTCCACTGGGCTAATCGAGCATGGAGTTGGTCGCCAGATGATTCGTAAATGTCCACGAGTTGATCTCCAAATCCGCACCGGGCCAATGCCAGAGCAATAACAGGGCCGAATTTGTTGCATCCCTACCCGCGAGACGTTAGCTTTGCATACATACCAAGCATCGCGAGTGAGTTACTAACGCCGTGATAGTCACCTCCTGACAACAATGCGATTAGAATGAGACCGGCCCGATTAAGGGAGACACCTGGGCTGGTACGAATCCCTTCGGCAGTGTAGATCATAACATGGTGACCGCTGGTTTTGCCTTTCGAGTTTAAGGCAGGGTGGGATTGGCTTGCAGGAAGTCCCAAGCTCTGGCTTTTTACATGGCAGTTAGTGATGAAGGGGACAGGCGGACGTTCTGAACTCACTTGCGGATGATTGTCTCGGCGCCGAAAACTAGGGCGTCAACGTCGTCGGTCAGAATTGCGTCTATAACACGTCTTTTGTTCAACTCTGCCAGTTCGGCTTCAGCTTCTCCTAGGGCCTAGCCGACAGTTCAGATGCAACCCATCTACGTTGAGCAAGAGACACACTAATCTCCATTCCATCCCGAATATGTCTAAGAGTTTTTGGAATCCTGTCGTGAGTCTATGCAAGCCTGATTTGCCCTTCTTGCTACCACGTTTATTTTTGGGACGTTGAGGTCCGTCAAACACGAAGAGGGGTAATATTGGGAGTTTTGCGAAGGAATGAAGCCGATAGAATAGCAGCCGAAGTTCTGGATTTTCTCCTCCCTTGCTGGAAGCTGCGTGCGAGTACCAGATGCTGGCATCTATGCCGATACGGTACGCGCGTCTCCCGGAATGGTTTGACTCGAATCCCTCCACGACGGTAAGGTGTGCCAAGGAGTGTGACTGGCCGGTCTGTTTCACAATCTGAGGAGAAGCGGCAACGATGCGAGACGCGACACGACAAGTGAGCTACCAAAATAAAATTGATTCGGAAAGACATACCTCCCACAGTCCTGGAACACCCATGAATTTAGACAAACAGCCAAGCACAGTTGAGCGCGAATAATGATAAGTGATGGAAAGACTCAATCAGAGTCAAAGAGACGGCGGCAAGAATCTGTCAGAATCTGTCGATCCGCCAGACGCGATCATGTGACCGTAGTAAACAGTACACGTAAGCAATAAGCAACGCGTAAGTACTTAAGTAAACAACAGTACGTAAGTGGTCGTAAGTTATGTACTTAAATAGGTATCTGCTCTCTCCATTATTCGCCGGTTCGTGCGAAGTAAGTACTTATCAAGCTCTTGAGTCTTCGGCGCAAGCTAGAGGCCGGACTCCCGAACCGGGAATAGAGATTCTCTTTGAGTCTTTCCTCATTCCATGGCCAATGGTCAGTGGTCAGTGGTCAGTGGTCAGTGTCCACAGCCTCCAGGTGTACCATATAAA